ATATATATATATATATAGTTCACTATTATAGGGGTAGACTTGGTCATATGGAAATTGAGTTTATGTAAAGAGAAAGTGCCTGATGAAGATGTGAGTAGCTTAGATCTCAGTTTAATACCAAATGGAAACCAAAAGCAAAAATTTTAAAGTGGAGCAAATTTCTTCAAATTGAACAAATTAAGAGGTAGCCATAGTTTCCGGTGTCTGTCATTTTTATAGCGTTTTTTCAAACTAGGTAGGTGGGAGAAGAGTGCTTAGTTTACTTTTCTGAGGCAATACTGCCATTGGGAGGACACAGTTTCATAAATCCCCAAGCCGTAAGCCATTCTTCCATGCAAGTCCCAGCAGTTGAACAAGTTAGGGCCAGTGGAAAGCTGAAAGAGACCATAAATATAAGCTTAGCTTTCTTAACTTTTTCTTAGAGGGAGCATTGGACAGTGCAGAGTTTTGGTGTAGTATCTAGTGAGTTAGGAACCAAATTGAGCCAGTGGCTGGCTGCCAGGAAGTTCAGGAACAGGAAGTACAGAGGTGAGACCTTTTTCCTCACCATGTGGGTAGGCCTAGGGGGAGCCACTTAACAGCCAAGTATAGACCTTGGGGGCATTTATCTGGTGAATGTGTCCTTCGAATTCTCAGCTTAACTGTCCTTGGGTTATGAGATGAAGGCCTTTATAGCAGCAGGGTATGATCACAAGGGACAAGACAATTCCAGGTATAATTTATCTGTAGTCAGTGTCATTTATAGAGTTTAAGGTACACCAAAAGTCTAGAACGCCATTACCTAGAGCAAGAAGGACTTGTGAAGAAGGAATGGGATACATTAACATGCCAATGTGAGCCAAAACATCGAGGAGAACAGATTTGTCAAAGTGGATGAAAACCAAGAATGTACTGGAGGGCCTCAGGAATGTTCTGACCCCACAAGCTAGCAGGTTCTTTAATTTTGTAGGTTCAAGAAAAAGTCTTCTGTAATGTCCTGACCATGATATCATCTCAGTTTTCTCGAGAAGGGCAAAAACAGAAGAACATGGGTCTTTTCTATTGACAGTCCCCTGAAAACAATGGTATTGTTTAGGCCTGTTAAAACTTACTTGTGCCTACTACTGGTAGTGTTCTCTGTGGTAGCTTCATAGTTAATTCCTAATGAATATTCCTTAATGGCCCACTTAGACAAGGTCAGGTGGAAATTTAATTTCTTTATTTATTATTTATTTATTTTTAAAAATGTATTTGTTATCATCATAATCTTGTCTATATTACATTGAATTACATATAACTTTACAGTGTATTACATTGTTTTTTCATGCATGTCAGTCAATACAGAGACATTAACATTTCTACTTCATCATTATCTTTTCATTGTTTGTCCCCATCATCATTATTATTCCAATTATTTTTTTTAACCAGTCAATCAGAAATGTAATTTCTGAAAGAACAGGATTTTCTGATGACATTGAGTTGTTTTAAGGGCTGTCCCCATGGCCTAATGTTTAAGAGAGCTGGATCCCAAATGGCCGATCTCAGTTTGACTTCCAGGCCTAGCAGCTTGAAAAACATACAGGCACATGTGCTAGCATGCCCCAAATTCCTACAAGACAAAGAAATATTTATGGCATGGATGTTGTCTCCTTTCTTTGGCAAGTGCTCATGGCCTCTGGCAAATTTTATAAATAGACAGCGAGTTATTTTACCTGTCAGTTTGGTTTCAGATGGAAAGAAAAAGCAGAAGTACAGCAGAGAGAGCAGCTCCAAAACAAGCAGGAAGTAAAGCAGCTATCAGCTATATCTCCTGGTACCTTTCTCTATGGATATCTCAGTTTTTCTTTTTTTTTTTCAGACGGGAAGAGCGAGGGAGAGAACTCAATTACAGAGTTTCTTGGTATATATGGAGCACTACTGCCATCGTGAGGAAGTAGTTTTAAAAAAACCCTCCGCCATCCCAGCTTCCAGTGTGAGGACGGTCTGGTCCACAGGGAGAAGGAAGTGGCTTGAAAGCCATGCTGGGCTCTTGGTTTTCATCTCTAGGGTCTTGAGAGAGACGTGGATATTGACCGTGTCTCAGTGTGGAATCCGGAGCGTGAGGGGGCTGGAGTTAGTTACCTGCCAGAACGGACTGGCACAGGAAGTCATCGGGCGGGGTCTTGGTTCTTTATGGTGTATAAGGGAGACTGGAGGAATGCAATCAAAAACAAAAGCAGGCCATTGTGGACACTTCTTTCTTGTTCCAGCTCCTTAAGACAAGTTAGAAGGCTTACATGTGGTGTTACCATTGCTGTGGGGCATGATTGCTCTGTGGCAACAGTGGCGGCATGATGGACAGGCCTGTTCTAAGGGAATCATTACTATAAGTCTTAGGTATCAAAAAATTCTTGAGTCCCATTACTTGGTGCAATGTATCTGATTAGAAGAATAAGAAGCTAATGGATTCAACCTAATGTAGGCTAGCTGAAGAAAAAAGACCTACTTCAAAGTGAGTCTTAATCATCTCAAAAAATATCACAAGATGGAAGGTGTGGAACTCTTTATCTCAGGTTTTTTAAAGGAATTTGAAGTCATTGAAGCATGGTGCCACAAATTATACTATACTAATCACTGATTTTCTTTATTTCTATTTACTAGCTGACTGGTGATGAAGATGGTTTACAGGCTCCCCCCCCCCTCTCCTTTCGAGAAGCAACAACGACCCCCCCCCCATCAAGCCTTTTTTATAGACCTAAGAAATAAACTACAAATTCACTACAGCTGCAGCCTCCTTCTGGACACAGAGAATTCTTCTTAGACTTCTGCTCCATTGGGCACCCCTATTTTGATGTGTGTATCTCTTGAGCTAACCAAAGTTGTGCTGCTCCAGAATTTTATGTGACCTGTGACCCACAACAAACATTACGAACTGCTGTTGAATTTCGCCTGGGATGGGTCAGTATATCATGCTGGCGCTGCTGCCACAAGGTTCCCAAGCCCCAAAGCATGGTGACACCACTTGTAAGGCTTCTAACTTGTTTCAAGGAGAAGGAACAGGAACAGGAAACCAGTGCCCATAAAAGCCTGCATTTCTTTTTGAGTGAATTCCTCCAGTCTCCCTTACACACACACTAGCCCCTCCTCTCCCTTCCCCCTACACAAGCCCAAGATTCTACACTAAGATATCACTAATGTCAGGTCTGACTCAAGGCCCTAGAAATGAAGACAAAGAGGCCTAGATTGGCGCTCAAGCCCCTTTAACCTCCCTATAGGTCAGAGTTTCCCAATAGCTAAGTCTCATTAGAAGAGAGCTGTAATGGCGTACTGTATTTTCAAACTACTTCCTCACGATGGCAGTAGTGCTCCACATATGTCAAGAAGTTCTGTCCTGGAGTCTTCTTCTCCCGCCCCTCGAGTCTAAAAAAACGCCACTAGAAAAAAGGCACCAGGAAACAAGTCTGACTTATATCAGGTCCAGTTAGAAGAGACCTCTTCATGTTGATTACTTACTTTTGGTTTTGCTTTCCATCTGAAACCAAACTGATGCCTAATACCACCCATCCTCATCAGGAATCTTGTTCTTCGAAAAATTTAGTTTTTACTCTACTTCTACACAGTTCTACTTTCATTCTATGTATTATTACTATTATTTTAGAAATTTGCCAGAGGGCGAGTATGCTATCCAGAGAAAGAGAAAACAACTCTTATAGGAAAAAGACCTGCCCAAATCCCTTTTCATTAATTTTTCTCTTCTGTTTTTTTTTTTGTTTGTTTGTTTGTTTGTTTGTTTGTTTTTGTTTTTCACCCTGCCAGGTCCAGAACTGGGCAGTTGGCCATGTGAAATCCAGCTCCCTTAACCTAGAGGCCACAGGCTGACCCTGTTCTATGTATTCTATATAGCTCTGCTCAGCATCCTATGTCTAGTATTTTCCTATAGCATTGCATTTTAAGTCTCAAGTGATGAGTCTGAGGAATCCAAGCATATAGATGAAAATGCTGGAAATTCAAGGCCTATTGAGGGACTTTTCTAGCCACCTTATTTTAACTGAGGATCTCAGGGGATTCTGCTGTCATTTTCATTAGTCCTAGCACTAATGTACATATCATATTGGTGGGGGTAAACCATTTTAAAGCCTAACAGTAGGAGCTCATTATGGCTTATCCCTCTATTCCAAACAATTCCTTATATAGAATGACAAATTTCTATATATGCCCATAATAATAGACAGATTTTTTAAATGTGGTATATACTTGATGCAGATTTTATTTAATTTGTAATGGAGGCAGTTTCAACATGATAGTTTTCTATTTTCTTAATAGGATGACATCTTAATATTTTTTCTTTATTATTTATTGATTTGTTAATATGTTGTTTTTTCAGTAAGAAATACCTTTTTAAAAATAGATTCAGAAAATAAGGGAATGTTCTATAAATGGAAAACACTAATATAAATATGCTATGTCAAAATAAGCACTGATTAAATTTAGGGTTTTTTACTTCTGATTCTTTTTCTTTTACACAGACACTCATCTTTAGCTTCTTGTAGAAGACATAGAAAACTGAATTGTTCAATCAATAAACTTATTAATTATATCATCTTATATCTCATAATTATAGAATAAAATTTTTTTAAGTTCTTAGGATATTTATATAAATTAGTTATTTGACTACTCCTGGCCTTACACATATCATTCATAGCTCAAGTGTCTGGACTCAGAGGCCTCTTTATCAGGAATGCTTAGCTGAGGCTTTTTTTGAGGTGTTTTTGCCAAAGCAATTTTATCAGAGGACTTCAGAGACATTTTCCGTTCATTCTAACTTAGTGCTCTGTGCTCTAATATTCCTTCCATTTTCCTTCCCCTGACCTCAGGGTCCATAAGATGGCAGGAGCTTTTTATTCAGTATTTCCTTGGCAATGAAATGGTTCCCCTTTGTTACCAGCAAACTAAGTCTGACTGCTGCTTCTTGCAGTCGAATGAAATGAGAAGCAGAGGCTGGAGAAGAATGGAATGTATTTCTGTAGTTGATTACGGAGAGACAGACATTCAAACACCACCAAACTCTCAAGTAGCTCATCATGTTCTCGGTATTTATAGGTACAA